TAAAGATTATTCGAAAAAATGACGCTCAAAACCCACCTTTTATTCTCTCTCTTTTTTTGTTCTTTTTGTTTCCTTATCTTGAGATAGGAGAACCTCGAAGATTTGGTTGATCTTGATTGCTCAACTGCTCACATTTGGATTTTCTTTTTCTGTTTCTGATCTCCATCCCTTTTCCTCATAAACCTATGATTTTTTTCCTTTTCTCTACACAGAAAAATTTCTATTTTCTCTCAATTATTTTTCTCTTTATTGAGACATGATTACTTTGGAGATCTTTCTTATCTAATTTATTTTCGATCCGCTGATCTCGCCATTTTTTAGTTTTAAAATTTTCCTTTATTTTGACTGATTTTCTTTATTCTCTAATCAATTTCATGTTTGTTTCAGGGTGCAAGTTTAAGGTTTGCATTTTATTATCTAGTATCTTCTGTGAGGACTCGTAAAAAAAAACTATTATTTTATGCCTAATTTATGGCTTAATAAATTATTTAATTAGATTTTTGCCACGAGGAATATTTTCTAGTCTTATTAGACCTAAATACATGGTAATATAACTTCGTTATATTTTTAAAGAGACTCGTTTCAAGAATTAATTTCCTGGAGTGCGTTTAGTAAAAATAGTGAATAGTACTTGGAGATTTTATCTGCGTAGTAGCACAATAAGCTTGGAATATTGGAGACTTGTACTATGGTCCTAAAATAGGTAATCTTATGAATAAATACTCAAGTGATAGTTAGTAGTGCAATCGTTATAAGAAATTCTCGGAGGTTTCGCGTTATAGCGTTAAAAATTGACGGTACGCGTCTTCGCACGCGCGACTTTATTTGAGGGACTTTAGACCCTTATTTCGGGACAATTAAAAGTAAATAATATTTACATGAATATAAATGCATTGGAGGTTCAGTGCACTAGTGAACCAAACATGCGAGAAAATCGAGCCCCAAAACGTGCCAAACAAGCCCTAATGAGGGTTGACTTTGGAGTGAATGTGCACCACTCATTTAATCTTCTCTTGGAAGCTAACTTTGATCAAAATTCACTCCTTCTTCTCTCACCAAGCAGCCGGCCAACCTTCCCTCTCTCTCACTCTCTTGCTTCACAAATTCCTTCATCAAATCAACCCAAAACTTCAACCAATCTTCACCAAACTTGAAGATCATCTAGCAAACTACTTGGAGGTTGGATTTAGCTAACTAAAGGGCTGCATTTCACGGTTTCTTGGAGCTCTTGAGGACCAAAAATTTCTGGGTTAAGGCACTAAGGAGGTATAACTTCATCCTACACCTTAAACTTGGATTATGATGGTAGAAATGCATCTTTAAGTTATTGCATGTGTATGGATGGCTTGATATAGTTGGAAATTGTGAAAGTGGGCTCTTTGAATTCCCACACTTGGGTTGTTGTTGCTGATTAGAGGATTAATGTTGGATTTAATGGTAGTTTAGTGGTTAAAATGATGGATTTATGGAGTATTATTGTTGGAAACTCAAAGTTGAGGTCATGACAAAAAATTTCCGAAACTGCCCCTGTTTTGTTCGGCCATGATAAGGCCCATTTTTGGAGATTTATTGGCGTGAACCTGATGTTTATATGTTATATTATATGTGCAAAAATTTTCGTTGGAAAACATTAACGTTTGGATGGGCAAATGAATTTATTCGTGGACTATGCAAGCTGGAAAGTTATTTTCGGGTAACCCTGTCCAGCGGTAGCATTTTGACCATAACTCTGTCCTCGGGTGTCGAAATCAAGTGCCGTCGGTGGCGTTTGAAACTAGACATTCCTGGCTTTAATTTGAGATAAATTCACGTTCTGATTCTTTGTGAGTGAGCCGAACCAAACGTTTTAAGATAGCTGTCCTGTCTCTCGGATTTGCTGGAATGGTTTGTAGAGGCAGCAACTTGAGGCTCAATTTCGAGCTGGTTGCTTGCCAAATTTCAGAACATTTCTTCTGTGAACTTTTAGTCCTATGAATGTATTTTCTAACGCCATAAACCATGCCTCATTCCGGGTTAAATTGATTGAGTTGTGACTAAAACAAGAGGACTGTCCTGTTTTGGAAAAACGTAATATTTGGACTGATTGGGACAAAAACTTGGGAGTGATCTTATTAATTGAAATTTTGATGCTAAACCATTACCAAAGGTATCATGGATGTATCTTAGACCTTTATTTCACCAATGAACCATGGATGGATAGCTTTCTTGGTTAAACGATTTGAATTGGGAAATGAAAGTCAAAAGGCAGATTGCCTTAGAATTTTTCCTGAACTTTGGTTGACTAATTAACTATCTTTCCGAAGGTATTCTTCCCTGAAATTTGATAGAACGGTACCTTTCATATAGGAGTAAAATACTGCCAATTTTGGTACCAATCCAAGTTCGTTTCGATACCTAATTAAATTTCTAGTGTTGGAGGTTCAAATCTGGAAATTCTTCTCCAGTCTTGAATTTCCCCAATTTCGAGCTACCGTATCTCGGTACTCGAAACTCCGATTCTTGATCCGCTTGCTTTTCTATAAACCTCACTTGCAACACTACTTGAGTTACGAATTTCAGAGGCCGGTTCGCAACGTGTGAATCGTGCCGAATTTTCAAAGTTGGCCGAAATCCAACTTAATTCTGCCTTGTACGCCGAGTCTGTACCTTCAAGCTCATTTTTGAGTACTTTTCACTTAGATTCATGGAAAGGTGTCTTCTAAGAACTTTTAACAATTTCCAAAAGGTTTCCAACGGTATAAAGTTTTCCAGTTTTGGGCTTATATCGAGAGAGATTCGAATTTTCAAAGATTTAGGATAAAACTGAAATTTCTCAATTTTCAAGGCAAAGGATTTTTTCCAAAACTCTTAATTCTCTTAGTATTATTCAAACGTTTTGCCCTCGATTTTCATGATAAAAACTCAAATAATATTTTACATAATAAAAGGCAAGTTGAACCTCGATTTACGAGTAATTGAGGTTCCTTTTGTGAAATAATCTTTAGATTGTACTAGTGTACAATCTTCCTTGATAATTGGATTATTGAGTGATTATCCACTATTAATTGCCAGGCGCACAAGGAGACCTTCAAGAGGATCTCACAGTGGACACTTGAATTCCCAGAAAATAATTCTTATTGAATTGCTCGGTGAGTGTCAAGTGTGTGAATCTTTGATACTTGCTTATTTGTGGTAATTGTTGGAAGTTTTAAAAATAAGGGCGGGTGCGTACTTTATCGCACCCGTTCTAATTTCAAATGAATGATTGAAATGTATTGAATGAATGAATGAAATACAATGTTATGTTATGATTACATATGTCATTGGAGTGAACCTCCTTGACTTTCAAATGAATGGGGGACGCCCAAACTCATAGGCCGACCTTAGACTCGAGCCGGCAATGGGCTTGGTCGGGGACTTGGGCGAGCCATGAGATATATATAAGCTCGACCTAATGAGAGGTCTTGCTTGGCATACTCGTGGAGTATCACCTTATAAATGACTTGTGGGCCCTTGAGGTGTACGGTGGACGGAGGGAAGTAAGTGGTGATCTACGGAAATGGAAATACTGACCCGGTTGACAGGAGGGTCAACGCGGGAAGGTATATGAATGACATCGGCAGAGCAAGTGGAACTTAGCTCCTGAGAGCTACTATATCCTTGAATTGTTTCTGATTACTTTTCCTGTTCGAATGATTGATTATTGAAAGGACATGATTTTATTTATAAAATTTGGGATTGCTATTTGAACAAAGTGCTTGCATGTGTGTTCTTGGCCTCACGAGCGTTTAGCTCACCCTATAGTTTTGTTTTCCTTAACAGGACTGAATCTCGGAGAAGTTTGGAGAAACCCTTCGCTGTACTTTTGTTTTAAGGTTTCTATTATTTGTGGCTATGTCCTTTGTTGGGATTGTACTTTTGGAATTGATGTGTAACTTTTGGGCCTGACGTATATTTCGGATTTAAGTTGTATCTTGAACGCCCTATCTATGGGTGGGGTAATGGATGATTTTATGCTTGAACGCTTCCGCATTATTTGTATTCATGTTGCTCTCTTTGAAGTGTTTAGTTCGGTTTTAAATTGAATGGAATTGCTTGAGTCCTGGCGAGAGCTGGGCAGGCGTCCGCGGACACCCTTTGGTTCGCCTTAGGGAGATGTGGGGCGTCACATCTTCAATCTCTACAGAACCCGTTAGATAAGAGATCTCACATAATGTTTATTTTTCTCATGGCTTTTTTGACTATGATTATTTTGTTCTTATGGAATTTTTTGTGATTATATCAGGTAAAAAAAACATAAGGAAGGCCACTGAAGGAGGAATTACAGTTAGTTTCTTGCCCATTCATTTTTTTGGGTTATTTGGCTGTGATAATATAGTGTTTTTTTTTACTCGTTTCTTCCTTCAACTATAATATGAGAAAATCCAATATTGTTCATACTGGTATCAACTATTTTTTTTGTTAGAAAAGTTATGGATCTAAAGCTTCGTTCCAACCATATTTATTTGTTGCCCCCATCCTCCTTTCTGAGCGCATATTATATTAGAGATGAAAAATAATCATTATAGGGTTTTCTTTTGTATGGAATAAAATTTGATCATATTTCTCCCAAGGACGGCTTTAAGGTATCCTGCAATTTGGGGCTCTCTTTCTGGAAAATTTTGTTTATTGCATGTGAATTAATTTCCTCGATCTCTTTTTTTTTCATCTTTTGGTTGGCAGTGATCTCTCCATACCTTTGCTACTGGTTTTATTGGTCTAAGTTTTAATAGTTCTCATCGAGTTGTATTTATATTTACTTAGTTTGCTTTTATTTTTTGCCGTTTCTTTGAGAGCCCTTATACAAACTTATGGTTTGTGTGATTTGCTGGTTTACTTTCAGCTACTACATTTCTCATTGTTTTTGGATAATTGTTTAATAACCATCTATTTTACTTATTTGTTTTCAGGTTCTCTTTGTGAACTCTTTACCCTTTCTTCCATATTTTTCTTGCACGATGGGGTGGAATAGTTGCAAGCTATCAGAATGTATCACTTCAAGAGGTGGAAACATTTTCAATTCTGATATTTTTGTACCTGAGCACAAGAATGTATAGCAGGTCTGTTGCTCTATCATGTACTTAATTGTATTTTAGCACATTTCAATTCCAAGTAAATAAGCTCATTTTATGCTTTCTTCTTTTGGAATATTTGGCTTATGTTTGAGGTACTATTTGGGTAGGTTTAGCTTGAAGTTATAGTCCCTTTTGTGATTTGTCCCTCATCCTTCAACTGGTGGATTATGTTTATTAGATTTAATGACGCATGGTTTCTTTTTTTCATTAACAAGACCTTTGTTCTTCTGATCTTTTGCCTCTTAGAAAAGTATTTTGTGTCACTGATATTTTTTTATCTGATTTGCATTTTGATGTTATTGCCTTTGTAGGAAGGAAGATGACAGCACCTACCTTTCATTCTTTTCTGTTCTGTAGAGGTATATTCTTTTGAAGCTTTTTTTTAACTATTTTTGGCTGATAAGAATGTTCTTTTGATTTTTGTTTCTCAAGTCTCAAATCTTTTGAATTTTTTTTGTCTTACCATTATTTTTGTAGGAAGCAAGAGGAATTTATCACTGTCTGAAAAAAAAAACATTTTTTGAGTAAATAGACTCGTCAAAAAAGAACACTGGATATTCAAATACTATCTGAGTAGCAGTATGAGTTATTAATCAAGGCGCTCATACCTAATGACCTCAATTTTTGTGATTTATCCCTTTTGAGAATTGGTGACTTCATGTTAGTGTTTCTCTCGCGTTTTAGATTGTGGTCAAGTATTGGTTGTTTTATAACGATTATAGAAGAATCAGGTTTTAGATTTAGAAAGGCTTTTTTTCAATAACATAATTCTACTAAATCTACTACGTTGTTTGGAGATGTGGCAAAATTATCATATCACATTGTTTGGAAATTTTCTTGTGTTGTTATAAGAAGAGCGAAAAATTTTCAGAAAATGCTGATTTATTCTTATAAACATTTTCCTTTTTGACTTATCAGATGTTACCAGAATTCTTATGTAATTCTACGTGTCCTTTTATGTAGTACATTGCATTTGGATCCATTTGCTTAAGGTGGTCCGAACCCTTTCATGTATTCACCTATGATGCAACAAAAAAAGTATTTTTGGTCCTTAATTGTTGCTAGTGTAAGGTTTAGGTCCTTTGTTTAGGTTTTAGATTTAGAAGCCTTTTTCTAATAACATAGTTCTCCTGTATCTGCTACATTGTTTGGAAATGTGGTAGAATTATCATATCACATTGTTTGGAAACTTTCTTATGTTGTTATAGGAACCACGAAAAGTTTTCAGAAAATTCTGATTTATTCTTGTAAATATTTTCCTTTTTGACTTATCAGATATTACCAGATTTCTTATGTAGTTCTACGTGTCCTTTTATGTAGTAGATTGCATTTTGATCCATTTGCTTAAGGTGGTCTGAACCCTTTCATGTATTCACCTATGATGCAGCAAAAGTAACTTTGAAGGTTTTTTTGGTCCTTAATTGTTTGCTATTGTAAGTTTTAGGTCCTTTGTATCTGTTTAGATTACAAACTATTTATTTACTTCAAAAAGTGGCTTAGGGACGATGTTTTGTCCTATTGCATCAATGTGATTTGGATGTGAAATTTTGAAACAAAAATTAGGTGTTTAGTGCTTAATTCCTATTGTTTTACTTCTTTTTTGCGATTTAACATATGCTATGCTAGATTTGATGGTGTAGCATAAGAATTTTAACTATATTTATTTTCTACTAAATCCCAGATGTTTATTATGGGTTGAGATATTAAGATTTACAGCATAGTACAAAAGGATTTTGGAAATTGTTTTCTCAATGTGAATTTTATTTAGGCCCTTTTTTTGAACAAAAAAATGTTAATCTGTTTAGTGTAGATCCAAGGTTTTGTCTTCTTCATTTTTCCCCCTAATAAATTTGCTCTTGCCAGCATTTTTTATTCTAAGTCTTTGTTAGATGAAGGAAGAAATGATAAAGGAGGCTACTTTTCTTCAGTAAGCATTGATGATATGTTTTAATTTCCTTTTTTTGTGTGAACAGATTTTTTTCATTGTAACTGGCTGTAACTTTATGCTTTCTTTATCCTGTTATTGGTCTTTAAAAAAGTGAAGGGTGAAAATTTGAGACGGCATCCTATTTCCTCGAGATCCCTTTTACTTGTTTTACTTACTCCGTTTTTATTGTTTTGAGTTCTCTGTTTGAGAATCATACAACCTAATTTCTTTTTTGCAGAATTCAACTCGGACATATTATTGCTTGTACACTTGCTGTTCGGCTTGTAGTTTTGCTTGTTTCCTTTTTCTAGAGATGTTAGTCTTGTTTTTGTTTTTTCAGCTTTTGGTTATTTGTCAACCTTATTGATAGGTTGCAAGATTTACTTTTCTTTTTTTTTTATCAACTCAATAGTGGCAAGGAGAGTAAACTAATTTGTTTTCTTAGGTAATTTGTAGTTTGCCTTTTGTTGGAACTTTATTTTGGTTGGCAATGTCAACCTAGCCAGTTACCAGTGCCACTGGTAATGAAGCTATTTTTTAATTCTTTGTAATGATGATGATCCTTAAAGGATATCAATAAATCAAATTTATTGGCTTTTTGATGGTTTATTAGAGGGTGTAGTTTTATATTGCAAACTTCAATGGCATTTCTTACTGAAGTTTTCTTATTGGATTGGATGAATATTTTGTCAATGTCGTGAACTTTACTTTTTTTATTTCATTCGGTAAAACAATAGTTGAACTCTAAAGCCATCGTTTTGTTACAAAATAAAATGGGTATATTTGATGTCCTTTTTGTAACTATTGCAAAGATTTTGATACATCTTATGTAACTTTTTATAATTAATTTTTTAATTTGAATAACTGAATGTTTCTGGGCAAGCTTGAAAATTACACCGCGCATCGCGTGGTGTTCTCCTCCTAGTTTTTCTTTAAAACGTGGCCAGCATTATCGTGTTTTTAAACAAGCTAACCTCAAAGCAGTTCACTTCTTCAATCTATAATGGCTATTTGTGAGTTTGGGATAGAAAAGAAAATATGGGAAATGTTAAGTTATGAAAGAAAAGAAAGGAAAAAAATAAGTCTTATGTTATTTGGGAGTTTTAAGAAAGAAATGGAAGTATTTTAGACATACATGTCATTAAAATTTCTTTCAATAGCCATCTAAGGACAAAATCGGCATTTAAAAAATTAGTGGGCTTTTTTTTTATTAGCAGTAGGACAAATTAGTGAGCTTATTCTATCTTTCCGTCGTTTCCTTCCCATATTTGGGTTGAAAGTTTCCTTCAATTGGTTACAAAAGTATTCCATCCTTAAAAATCTCCCGAATGACAAAAATCTTCCTCAATTTCTCACTTTCCATTTTTTTTGATGAAATCTCAACTCCCAAATCAGCTGTCAATGAAAGCAAGACAAGAGCCTAAAAATTCTTAATTTAGGGGTTCAGGAATAAATTGATTCAAATCACCTTGTTTTTGAGCCATGTTGAATGGACATGAAAGTTAATAGGTCCAAACCTCAAGAATTTGATGATAATTACTTGATAATATTTTTGAACAAAATATTTTGCCCCCTTCAAAACAATCAATGAATCAAATATCCAAAAATCTTGTGTTTAGATAAGAGATTATTTAAAATATTATTTGAAATAATTACTATAACACTTATTGTAATGTGATATATATGATATAAAAAAAGTGATTAGAAAGATCAAAATGTGTTTGTAATGCCAGAAAATAAATTTTTGACAAATAATTCCTATCCAAAACACACTTAATTGCCCGCAATAGTTTAAGACACAGCGAAAATTTTGTGTTCTATCTCAATTAGAGTATACATAAAAAGGCACAAAAAGTACAAAGATAAGTATGCCGAATAATTTGCATTGACTTTGTAGCCTTCAGCACCTAAGGTTTGTGTCAAAGACTTCATCAGGAACATGCAGTTTAAATAGACGTGTGATTTAAGGCAAGTTTGGGAGTTTAAGATAGAAAAGACAAGAAAAGAAACCCTAAGTTATGAAAGAAAAGAAAAGATGAGAAAAGAAAAGAAGAGATTATAGTGTTGTTTGAGAGTTTAAAGAAAGAAATGGAAAGATTTTAGATATATATGTCATTAAAAATTTGTTCAATAACCATTTAAGGATACAATTGGTATTTCAAAAAAAAATCTATAGTCACTCTTCCACTTTCCATCCAAATCAGCCTAAAATGGGTAGAATGTTTTTCTCTACTATAGCCTCAAAACAGATCCAACCAAATCAGCTCATTTCCCTTCTTTTCTGACACAAAGAATTTCCCAAACGGTGAAAAATTGATTCTGTTTATCACTTTCTTTTCTTTTCTGGCCAAATCTCTCCTTCCAAACGCACTACTAGTTAAAGATGGACAACAATTTTGGGTCTTTTTTATGTTTATATGATTGTTTCATACTTGTAATTATTTGGTTAATAGTACTGAATATTAGCTTCAAAGTGAAATATGGGTGAGTACATGGATTAAGTTCCTGTTTCTACAAAACTGGTTAAATTTGGTGCATAATTTTCTGTAACTGACGTATGACAAGCTTGTCATTAGATTCCTTTTTTTGGTGCCTGATGAAGTTGTAGCCACTTAATTGTCATGTGATGGTAATGGGATCGCAATTCACTTCAATTTTTGGGATAATTTCTTTTCTAGGCCGACGGACGAAGATATATCTGCTTCTTCTTCCATATTCTAATCCTAGTACTCCATTCTTCTTACAGAAAAAGGAGCTCGAAAGGCTAATTCCTAATCAAAAAAATGATAAAAAGAAACGAAACTGCATTTAGCACAAAAGATGTTATCCTTTGATCCAGTTTTCTACGGGCACTTGCATCTAACTTTAAATAAATTTTAGGGCAAAATACACTTTTACTTTCCTATGGTTTAGTAATCCTTCACATATCTCCCCTATAGTTTCAAAGTTATATAATTCTCATAATTTGAATTAAAGTGTCAAAATGACGGAAACGATTATTTGTAATGAAATTTATAAAAATGTTGAAATTACCCTTATTTAAAAACTAAAGACCAAAATATATAAATATAATATGCATGATATTCTAATCACGTATGATTTTATATTTACCATATAACCCCCTTATAATTTAGTACTTTATCATATAATCCTTTTATAGTTTTCAAAATATATACATAATCCCCCAATAGTTAATAAATTTTAATTGACTCTGTTGTGGAATGTAAATTCCATCAATTTTACACCTTAATCCAAACCATGAAAGTGTTATGTATAACTTTTGAAACCATATAGGGGTTATGCGAAAAAGCGCTAAATCATAGGAGAGTAAAGTTACTTTGCCCTAAATTCTATTGGAAACCATACTTCGGTTGCAGCATAATGGGAGTGAAGAGAAACATACTTGGATTGCTTTGATAGCTAATCCACTTCTACTCCCACTCTGACAGAATTCTATTATCCTAGATGGAGTCCCTCTCAACAAGAATTCTATCATGTAAAAACTAGAAGAAACCAACTGATCTCACTGTGAAGATTCATTTTGCAGGTTAATTATGCACCAACCTCCCATTTGGTATACATTACGGAACGGCAATGGCAATAACTATCAAATATGGCAGTGAGCTTTGATAAAACCTTAGTGGTTGTTTGGTATTTGTAATCAAAAGGAAAGGTATTAAATTTTTTTTTCTTTTTCTTTTCCTTTCCTTTCCCTTTCTTCTTCCTTCTGATAATAAACCCTAACCTCGTTCAACCACCATCACCACGACCACCGTCGCAACTCCACCATTTTAACCTAATCGAAAGTATGTTGCCAACCAAGCAGCATTAGTTACAGCTCTATCTAAACATTCAGAAACCATAAAAGGAACCTTTTTCACTGCTGTTCCCCCGTTGGTGCAATTCATGAGAAGAGGACGACGCTCGGATCTGCCCATCTGATAAGTACAACAGGTGAGCAAGATTAGAAGCATTTGACCAAGCAGCATCAGTTACATCTCTCTCTAAGCGCTGACAAACCTGTCCATTGGTCCAAGTGAACTGTGAACCATCAAAAGCAGCATCTGATAAACCCTGCACATATGTTTGTAAAGACAAATTGAAGTCTTCCATTTCATGAACACAAGAAGCAGCTCCACCTACACGTTCCTTTGAGGGAGAAACAAGTTAAAATCCTAATAACCAGCCAAGGATCCAACATGGATTCTGCCAATAACTCCATTGCAGCTCATAAATCTCTAGGACCAGTCCAAGAGCACATAGCATACACGACAGAAGAGTATAATGGCTGACTAGAAGATAAAGAGATATGAACATGCAATAGCTCATCAGCTTAGGATGAAAGTGAACAATCAATAAAACCAAATCTTGCCACCGAGAAATAGCATGAGTTCGACAAACATCAGCAGCACATCTCACTGAATCCATTCGAGACTTTTGAGTATCACCTCTAATAGTCCACACTGAAAACTTAAGAGGCATATATACATATCAACACAACATTTAAAGTGGTACTAGAAATTACTTTAATTTCTTATTAGAGTAATGGTTTACAATGCTACTTTACTTATCCCGGAATTGATCATTGTGCATGTGATGAATTTAAGATATTTTTTTTTCAATCATAAAACATCCATTTTTAAAAAGTATCCACTAGTTTATGATTCACTTTAAGGCTGAAGAGTTTTAAAACATCCTATAATTTTCAATTAACTAGTACAATAAATACTCAATCACATGGAAAACTAGAAAAAGTCTTCTTCAAGTGACAAAGCACTAGAATTTGGTATAGATTTGAAATGATAATTTTTCAAAAACAACGGATGGTTTTGAGTTGGAAAAAATAAATTTTGCCATTATGCTTTTGTACGCTATAGAAAAAAGATCAATCAATTTTTATCACATTAAAATTTAAAAATAAAAGCTTAAAACAAGTATTAAAAAGCACCTATAATAGTGAATCAGAGTGTTGCTTGGCAAATTGACGATAATATTTTGCTTGACATGAATTGCTGAGCTTTTAAAATAATTCTTAATTAGTTCTATTCATGCTAATTTGTAATTGCAAAAAGTTGCTAAAAAACAAAGAACAGTAGTTTGTGCAGAATAATTGGGAATAATATAAAATAAAGTTTCTTCAAAATGAAAGTCTTCTCTACAAAGTTTTTCACGTTATGTTGACTTTAAAGCAATTTATAAATTGCAATAATTACCCTTTCTTGAATAATTAAACAATGGTTTAGAAGTGAAACAATATTAAGTTGTAAATATTTCCAAAAAACAATTCCATTCAGGATTCATCTAGTTTCGTCAAATCCATTAGCT